TTTGGTCTGAAAATGGTGACAAAGATGTTTTTTCAACTGAGAGATGTCATGGTTGTCACTACCTGTAAGTACGATGTCATCAACATATACTATCAAGTAAATACGTCCAACACTCGAGTGTCGATAAAAGACAGAATGATCTGCTTCACACCGAGTCATACCACATTGTTGAACAACCTTGCTAAACTTTCCAAACCAAGCCCTGGGAGACTGTTTTAGGACATATAGGATTTGCGAAGACGACATACCATTCCAGAAGACTCCCCCTGAGCAACAAACCCAGGAGGTTGCTCCATATAGATTTCTTCTTGCAAATCACCATTGAGGAAAGCATTTTTAACATCCAGTTGATAGAGAGGCTATTGTTGAAGAGCGACCATGGTGATAAATAAACGAACAAAAGCCATCTTTGCCACAGGGAAAATGTATCTCCATAATCCAACCCAAAAATTTGAGTATAACCTTTGGCCACAAGATGAGCTTTAAGGCGATCAATAGTACCATCAGGTCCAACTTTGATAACAAACACCCACCTGCAACCAACAACAAATTTCCCAGACGGTAACGGGACCAATTCCCAAGTTCCACTATTATGAAGAACACTTAGTTCATCTAACATGGCCTGATGCCAACCAGGATGGGCTAAAGCTTCACGGACAATTTTTGGAATGGTCACAGAAGAAATAAAGGAAAGACATGTATAAAAAGGTAATGATAGTTGATAATAACTCAAAGAAATATAATGGGGAGAGGGATTACGCGTAGAATGAATTCCTTTTCGGAGGGCAATGGGAAGGTCAGACTCATGTGTCAGATCTAGAGGAGATAGAGTAGTTGGCACTTGAGTGAAGTCACATGGTGGTGGTTGTGATTGGTTCGACAACTATAAATCTGAAGAGGTAGTGGAGAAGAAGCTGACTGCGGAGCAGGAACTAATGGTGAAGAAGACACAGTTAGAGGGTCATAAACAACAAGAACATTAAATGTACTAGGAGTGTTGACAAGATTGGATGGAGACGGAGATGAAGATTGACTTTTAAAATAAAGAGACAACTCATCAAAGGTGACATCTGCAGACACAAAATAAGGGTTAAGAGAAGGAGAAAAACATTTGTATCCTTTTTGTGATCTTGTAAACCCTAAGAAAATACATTTATGTGATCTAGAGAAAGTTTGTCAAGACCAGAACTGAAATTATGAACAAAACATGTAGACTCGAAAACTCTCAGAGGTAAAGGATGAAGTGGTTCATGAGGGAATAAAATGGAATGAGATATTTTATTATCTAAAACCGAAGAAGGCATGCGATTAATGAGATAACATGCAGTAAGAAGAGCATCACCCCAAAAATGTTGAGGAACCTCTCCATGAATTAAAAGTGTGCGAGTTGTTTCAATAAGATGTCTATTTTTACATTCAGCTACACCATTTTGTTGAGGTGTATAAGCACAAGAAGTTTGATGCAAAATACCGTGAGAAGCCATGAATTTTTTAAAAGAATGAGAAAGATATTCACGACCATTATCACTATGCAAAACTCTAATAGAAACATCGAACTGAGTTTGAATTTCATTAAAAAAAGTTTGAAAGATATGAAATAATTCAGAACTATTTTTCATCCAAAATAACCAAGTGCATCTGGAATAATCATCAATTAAAGTAACAAAGTATTGAAAACCTAAAGTAGACTTAACACGGCTAGGTCCCCAAATGTTAGAGTGAACCACGGCAAAAGGGGACGAAGCACCACGTGTGAAACTACGAGGAAAGGAAGTACGACTATGCTTGCCTAATTGACATGACTCACATGCCAAACTAGATAAATTGGACAAGGTAGGGACAAGCTTCTGTAACTTGGCAAGACTTGGATGACCTAACTGAGCATGAAGAAGAGAGGGAGACTCCATAACTATACTAACATGTGTAGAGGGACAGAGATAATAAAGACCATGAGACTCACATCCTGTGCCAATCACCTGTCCTGTGCCAAACACATAGAATTGTTGGTAAAAGTAACAACAAAATCAAGAGAACGAGTTAGACGAGTGATGGACAACAGGTTAAAAGGAGACCTAGGGACATACAAAACATTATCAATGGTTAAAGAAGGAAAAAGTTTAACCGTTCCAACACCATGAGATGATACTCTAGAACCATCAGCCAGTGTAACAAAAGGTAAATGATTAGGAAAGGATAAAGAGGAGAACAAAGATTTGTTACCAGTAATATGATCAGTGGCTCCTGAATCAAAAACCCAAGGACCAGGAGAAAAGGATTGGGCCAGACCAGCAAAATATGTATTTGTATGTGTGACAGACATAGTGGAACTAGAAGACTGTTGATCCTTATACCATTTGAGAAATTTGTTGAACATAGTAGGCCTGTCGGATGCAACAGAAGAAGGAGGATCCCCAACAGATAAAGGTGGGGAAAGATTGGTCTGAACAACTGCAGCAGATCGAGGAGGACGACCATGTAATGCATAACACTTGTTAATCTTGTGACCTAGTTTGCCATAATGTTCACACTTAGGACGACCTTTTCCCTGTTTGTGAGGGCGAGTTCGGTCATCACGATGGAATGTCAACACAAAAGAATCATTAATAAAATTGGAAATAGTAGAAGAAGTGGAAGAAATCATGAAGAGCGGGAGAACAAATCCTAAAACAATCCAAAGTAATCCAATCAACCCACGAAGCACAAATCCAAAATGAGAATACTAAAAATAAGTTCGCCAAGACTAAACGACACAGGAGACAATCAGACGACCAACTCCGATAGTGGTGATCTCAACGGCACGGTCGTCACCTGACCGAGACAAGCAAAATCATATGTCACCTGTCAAAAAATGAAATTCCGGCGAATTCTCCGGCAGTTGCGGATCCGGTGACTGCTCCAACAGCAGTAGTGACAACAACGTGAACTAGTACACCAGGTAAGTTCCCAGGAAAGAGAGGTTGGTCACTAATGGACACACTTAAATACCAAGTCTTTTCTTGCCAAAACTTTCCTAGACATGCACTTTCACACTACCAAATAAAATTCAGTAACAAAGATAATTCTTTTTTTTATGTGGAGGATCAGTTTACCAGTAGCGGTGGGGCGGCTCTAGCAGTAGTGGGGCGGCTCCAGCAGTGGACAAAAGTAAAAAAAAAAATTCCAAGATAACCTTTCGCTCTAGATACCATGTTGAATATAGAGGAAATAGGGTTTGAAATTAATCTCCCTTGTGTATAAATCACACATAGGGTAATCTATTTATAATAGACAGGTACAACTAAAAGAGTAACCGAAAGTAAACAATAAACAGAAGATATTGTTTGATATTGTAGTTAACAATATCTAACAATATCTTAACAATATCAAACTATATCTAAACAATATCTAACAGTGTACACATATTATATCTATAACAAATAATTATTATATTAATTTTAGAATGATTTTAAAAAAATTGAATCATGCGCGACCAAACCAATTCATGGAGCGAGTTGGATACATGATTTGCCTTTTTCAATTCAATAAAATCCATACATGATTTGCCTTTTCCAAAGCAAATTAAAAACATATACACAATGTTATAACCAATAACTGATGATGATGAAGAAATATTGAAGTTCTTAAAGATTTGATGAAGTCAAAGTAATTATGGAATAGGAGATGTAGTGTTATGGTCCTTTAGTGAGTCTGCATCAATATTGAGTAGGTATAATCATCTAACCAACCCTACAACATGAGGTTTTATCATTTGAAAAAAAATAAAAATGCCTCAAAACATTTTAATCTATGAAAAATTCTTTTAATTGGTTAATTTGCTCTTAAGTCTTGGATTTGACTGATACATTTATAAGTTAATCGATTATAATCACTTAAAGGAACTTGAAAACACTTCTATCGCATTTTTAACCGATATATTTTCTAATTAATAGATTAAAACAAATTAAAAGATATATTTTCGAATTAATCGATTAAAATTAAAACATGTAAAAACATTTTCTAGTCGCAGTTTTAATTGATACATCTTCAAAATAATCGATTATTTTCACTTAAGAAGTTTTGGAAAATATTCTGTCAGATATTTTAACCGATATATCTTCGAATTAATTGATTAAAATAACTTAAGAAACTTTTCTACAACTGTTTTAATTGATTAAAACACATTTTTATAACTTAAAATCACTTATGAAGTTTTAAGAAATCCTCTACCAGATATTTTAATTAATGTAATATAAAATTAATCGATTAATATCACTTAAGAAATTTTCGCACAACTGTTTTAATTGATTAAACTACTTTTTTATCAGTTAAAACACCTCAAGAAAAATCTATAGAATTTTAATCGATTAAATGATATTTTATCAGTTAAATTCGTTAAAGACAAGATATTTTAATTAATTAAAGAGCGAATTAATCAATTAATTAGTTCAGTTAGTTAGAAAAATCTCTATATAAGTAGATTTGCTTCAACGTTTTAAAAAACATCCTTTAGAAATCATTCAAGCAATCTTTAGAGATCTTTTCAAGAGAGAAGCGTGCTTCTTCCAGTGAGAAATTTCAGAATTCTTTCTTAAGGAATTTTTTGTTCTTGCTTGTGAAGAAACTCATTCTGCATATTGGAATTCAGATGTGGTTAGATTGTATGCTTGTGATGCTTGGGTGATATATTTTGTTCTTGGATGATTGAAATACTTATATTGTTAGGTCGATTTATTTTACTTATATTCTGTCTAGAAAATGTGTGTGTGTGCTATTTGATTATGGAGTTACACATTTTTTTATATCTGAAGCATGTGTGAAAGAACTTGGTTTGTCTACGGGAAATTTGAGGTGTGAACTGGTGGTTTCTACACCAACGTCAGGACAAGTCTCAACTAGCCTGGTCTGTGTTGGATGTCCGATCGAAGTAGCGGGGCATAAGTTTGTGGTGAATCTTATTTGTTTACCACTAGAAGGGTTGGACATCATTCTAGGGATGGATTGGTTGACTGCTAATCATATTCTTATCGACTGCGGGCAACATAAGGTGGTGTTTCCGGAGGCGACTGGGTTGGAACTAGGTTCGGTTCAGTCGATTCTGCAAGACTTGAAGGATGGAGCTAACAAATGCACCTGCAATTTTCATGGATTACCTGAATCAAATTTTTTGGCAATGTTTAGATAAGTTTTTTGTCGTGTTCATTGACAACATCCTTATTTACTCAAAGGACCGAGAAGAACATGTCGGACACTTGAAGGTTGTGCTGGGTATACTACGAGAACATCAGTTGTATGGGAAGTTATCCAAGTGTGAATTCTAGTTAGACGAAGTGCAGTTTCTGGGTCACATGATATCGGCACAAGGTATATCGGTGGACCTAGTGAAGGTGGAGGCTGTGATGAAGTGGGAACGGCCCGAGACTATCACAGAGGTAAGGAGTTTCCTAGGGCTAATAGACTATTATCGTAGGTTTATGGAAGGATTTTCTAAAATGGTAATCCCTTTGACACAACTAACTTAGAAGGATCAACCTTTCTCATGGACCGGTAATTGTGAAGCTAGCTATTCCAGATACGGCTAAAGCTTTTGAAGTTTACTATGATGCGTCTTATCAAGGTCTGGGGTGTGTTCTAATGCAGGAGAAGAGACCGGTTGCTTATGCATCTCGACAATTGAAAGTGCATGAGAGAAATTACCCTACACATGATTTAGAGTTAGCTGTAGTGGTATTTGCTCTGAAGTCTTGGAGACATTACTTGTATGGATCGAAATTCTAGGTATTCAGTGATCATAAAAGTTTGAAGTACTTGTTCGACTAGAAGGAATTGAACATGAGGCAGAGGAGGTGGATGGAGTATTTAAAGGATTATGATTTTGAACTCCTCTATCATCCAGTCAAGGCCAATGTAGTAGCTGATGCCTTAAGTTGGAAGAGAGTGCAAGTATCGACATTAATGGTGAAGGAGTTGGAAATGATAAAAAAATTACGGGATATGAATTTGGGGATACAGATGAACAAGGATCATATATGGTGTGGTCGTTTGATGATCACCAATGATTTCTTGGAGGAGATTAAAGGAGGACAAGTGGGGGATGAAGCATTACAACATATAGTGGAGTCGTTGGGAACAGATCAGGCTAAGGACTTTAAATTGGGCACTGATGGTATTCTCCGCTTCAGGAACAAAGTGTGTGTGCCAGCGAAGGATGAGTTGAGAAAGATGATTCTTGAAGAAGGACATAAGAGTAGTCTTAGTATACATCTAGGTATGACTAAGATGTACAAGGACCTTAAGGAGACTTTCTAGTGGGGTGGCATGAAGAAAGATGTAGTAGAGTTCGTATCGTCATGCTTGGTTTGTCAAAAGGCCAAGATTGAACACCAAATACCTGGGGGTATGCTACAATAATTGGATATTCCTCAGTGGAAGTGAGATAACATATCCATGGATTTCATGACTCATTTATCGAGATCGACAAAAGGTCATGACTCGATCTGGGTAGTCATCGAAAGGTTAACAAAGAGTGCTCACTTCTTTCCTATCAACCACAGGTGGCCGATGGATAAACTGACAAAGTTGTACATTCGAGAGATTGTTAGGTTGCATGGAGTGCCAACTAGCATTATCTCAAACCGTGATCTAAGGTTTACGTCGAGGTTTTGGCAGTTGTTGCAGGGAGCTTTAGGTACACAGTTGAGGATGAGTTCAGCATATCATCCTCAGACTGATGGACAGTCTAAGAGGACTATTCAGTCCTTAGAGGATTTGTTGAGGGCTTGTGTACTAGATCATCTGGGCAGTTGGAGTGAGATTTTACCTTTGGTGGAGTTCACATATAATAATAGCTACCACTCTAGCATTGGGATGACTTTGTATGAAGCTTTGTATGGGAGAAGGTGTCGAACACCATTATGTTGGTATCAAGATGGGGAAGCAGTGATGATAGGACCAGAATTGTTGCAACAAACCACAGAGAAAGTTAAGTTGATCCAAGACCGAATGCGAGCAACTCAAAGCAAACAAAAATCTTATGCTGACAAGAGAAGAAGACCTATTGAGTTTGAGATGGGAGATCATGTATTTCTCCGAGTGACTCCGACCACTGGTGTTGGGAGGTTCATTAGATCGAGGAAGTTAACACCGAAGTTTCTTGGGCCATATCAAATTCTCCAGAGGATTGGTCCGGTCGCTTATGAGATTACGTTACCACCGTCATTGCCAAACTTACATAATGTATTCCACATATCACAGTTGAGGAAGTACGTTCCAAATCCTACGCATGTGCTGGAGGAGGATGAAGTTCAGATTAGTGATAATTTAACCCTAGATGTTGGACAGGTACGAGTGCTAGACGTGCAAGTCAAAATGCTTCGTGGAAAGGATATTCGCACGGTGAAGGTGCTTTGGGATGGAGGAATGCAAGAAACAACTTAGGAATTGGAGGACAACATGAAGAGGTTATATCCATACATGTTTCCTGGTAAGTACAATTTTCGAGGATGAAAATTTTTGGGTTGGGGAGAATGTAAGACCTAGGAAAAATAATTATATATTTTAAGATAGAAATTGGAAGTAATGGAAGTAATTAAATTAAGAATTTAATAATATTGCAGAGATGAAGAGTGACTTATTTGAATAGGTCCTTGCCATGAGATTTGGGGGTCATGAGTTCAATTCTTGTAATTGTTTAGAAAAAAATTATAATTGTTCTAATGAAAATTATAAAAAAATATTAAACAAAAGAAAAAAACAAAAAACAACAAAAAAAGAGTAGATGCCCGTCCGTTTAAGGCAGATCGCCGTCCAGAAGGGGCCGTTGGGGGCAGACGACCGTCCACCCTTGCCAGACGGCCGTCCAGTGGTTTCCGTTGGGGGTAGACGACCGTCCACCCTTGCCAGACGGCCGTCCATGGGTAACCGTTAGGGGCAGACGGCCGTCCACCTAGAGCAGACGGCCGTCCGCCCCTATTTTTTTTGCCTATAAATTTAGGCGCCCCAAATGGCTCATGGCACCTCATTCTTGCATTCTCCCTTCCTCCTACACCTCCCTCTGCATATTTTGAGTGTTCTTTGTTGAGTAATGGATCGTGGAGAGTCGTCTACACGTCGGAAGCGCTCCCGGGGACCCATAAGGAGTATCCCTCCTCCTCAGGTTCCCACTCAACTGACCGAGCAACACCAGACTAGGTTTGCCAATATCAACCAGTATGTTTGGCACCCTATGCTCTGGTTGGACTTCAGCATCCTAGCCATGTTCGGTTGGGATCAGGATGTAAGGAGGTACATCCAAGGTATAGGGTGGGACTTCCTGCTCAAAGATCCACCTACCCGCATCCATCCATAGCTACACTCATAGACCTACCATCTATGATCCCCGGGCTTCCGCTTGTCCCAGCAGTCACCTATTGGATGAATGGGGCTTACTGAACTAATGTCATAGATGACTTCAACGTCCTCATGGGGTTCCACCAGCCCGCAGAGATCCAGACACCGGAATACAGGGGGGTATTCTGTGAAAGGCCAGCTACCCTCACCACCAGTCAGATATGGGAGGAGATCACCGGCTCCTAGCATGTTCCCGCCAATCCAAAAGGGACCGCCTTCCTCCCACCTCTCCGCATCTGTCATAAGTTGCTAGCAGGCACCCTTCATAGCCGGAAGGAAAGTCAAGGCAAAGTCACCCAGGCGGACCTCTTTGTCATCTACTGCATGCATCAAGGGATCCGATGCAACCCGGGCTACCTTTTCTTGAAGGCCCTGAAGGACTTTGGGACACGAGGCCCTGCGAGATCCCTCATGGTAGGCCCTCTTATCACTCCTCTAGCTGAGTATTGGGGATGCACTGATGGAGAAGACATCCCCGCTGCCCTGCGACCAGAACTCATAGATGGTCTGGTACTCGCCCACATGAGCATGCTCACCCGTCAGGGCACCTCTTGGGTCATACACCCCATCCTTGCTATGACGTTCGATATCCATGAGATGGACGCTTCAGAATCAAAAGAGACGCCCGTCCCTCTAGGATCCCAACAACAACAGACACAATATGAAGATAGCCTCGCCAGCCTGCACCGGCACATGAGCGATGACAGGGCCCATTCGGATAGGCAGTACCAGCCTGTGCCAACAGATCGATCAGTTGTCCTTAAGGCAGCAGAGCTATGAGCAAGGATGTGAAAGCCTCAGCCTGAGGGTAGACGGCCTCATGCAGAGAATGGACACGATGGGCCAGGACCTACACGACATGATCCAAAGCCAGGAAGAATTCCAGCACCGCGTACTCCGCCGACTCCCTTCGCCATCACCATCATCAGCATCTAGCTCAGAGCCGGAAAGCTGAGATCTTTATAAATCTCCTATTGTACTCTAATTTTCGGCAAAATAAATAAATAAGACTTTATGTTTTCGTCATGTTGCCTCTCTGTACAAAAACCAACATGCATAGAAGAAACTAAGAAAATAAAAGGGCACATGCGTCATTCCAAAAAAAAAAAAAAACCAAAAAGAGGAATAAAACCGCAAAAAATTGAGAAATTAATCAAGTATTCCAACTACCACAACCAATAAAGGGTCGAATCACCAATGGATTCCTGTCTAGAAAGCATTCATCAAAAATCCCCAGCAGCCAAGAAGCTGGACGACTAAACAAAAAGCCAAAAGCAAAGAATCCCCGGCATACCAGATGACTACACAAAAGTCAAATCACTCCCCATGGAATCGGCGCATGATCAGAAACAGTAAGCTGCCACCACCTCTTCAGGAAAGGGAAAGACCTAAAGACAAAGACCTGCACACCAGGCAAAACCGGCGCATGATCAGAAACAGTAAGCCGCCACCACCTCTTCAGGAAAGGGAAAGACCTGAAGACAAAGACCTGCACACCAGGCAAAACCGACGCATGATCAGAAATAGTAAGACGCCACCACCTCTTCAGGAAACAGAAAGATCTGAAGACGAAGACCTGCACACAGGCAAAGCCGGCGCATGACCAGAAGCAGTAAGCCGCCACCACAGCCAAAGGGTCAGCTACTGCGTCGAAGGAGCATCCTGAGGCATCTAACCTGATGGGGGTTCATACTCATCAACCAAGGGGTCAGCTACCGCATCGAAGGAGCATCCCAAAATTCTCTACGTGTCAGCCGAAGGGTCAGCTACCACACCGAAGGAGCATCCTGAAGCCTCACAACATATCGTCCGAAGGGTCAGCCTCCACAGCAAGAGGAGCATCCAGAAGACAGCCGGGCAAGAGGGTTAACTCCTTCACCCGCCAATAGACCTCATGGTATGTTAACCCATGGTCAATTGGTCGGGTAAAGGGGGGGCAGCTGTAGACCCCAAATCTTACCCGGACCCCTAATAAAGCCGAAGATCGCCCATTCCGAAGATGGTTAAGACTTTATCAAGTCCCTAGTAGCTTGTTCTAGGTTCCATTTAGGATAGGAAGGGTTTTTAAGAGGTATTAAAAATCGGGAAATCTGCCGGAGACAGCAGATGGCCGTCCGGAACAGGTGGATGGCCATCCAGAACAGGCAGACGGCCGTCCAAGACAAACAGATGGTTGTCCATGGAAACTTTAAGGCCATGGACGGCCGTCCGCTTTGTCCAGACGGCCGTCCACTTTGTCCAGACGGCCGTCCACCTTTTCCAGGCCCGAATCCCTATAAATAGGAGCCTCATTTCTTCGATTTTTCACACCTTTCACACTCCTCCACTCTCTTGGAAGCCTTTTGGCACTTGAGAGTGACCCCGAGCATTATTCTGGGGTTCGAGGGAGCTTTCAGATTTCCGTTAAGGTTGAAATCGATTAAGGAAGTCTCTTTTTGAGACATCCGGCCCTCGGTAGAGTGACTTTTCTTTATTTTGCGGGAGGAGCGTGCTTGTAGAGTGCGGAGATTGCCAAAAAGCGTCCTCACGTTTTCGAAGAGTTAATATAAAGCTTGCTTCGGAGGTTCCTTCTCTATTCTCTGTCTCTTTTATTGCTTTCTTTATCACTTTCTTTGTGTGCATTAAATAATAGAGCCATGTAGATATTTAAATTCTACAAGTAAATAGAATAATAGGGTAAAAGCATAATTTCTTTAAGTGTTTATTTTCTAAGTTAGTCCATCATAGGGAACCCGAAAGGGGCGTTGTGGGGGTGCTAACACCTTCCCCACACGTAACTAACTCCCTTACCCGACTCTGGTTGTAATGACCAAAGTTGGTTTTTTCTAAAACCACTACCTTTTTCTTTTTACCTTTTTCAGTGTTTAAGGTTAAAACACTAATGGCGACTCCTCGAACCTATTCGAAAAGCTCGCCTTTAAGTCCAGCCCGGTTATCGGACGGCCTAAAGACGTTGAACCATTTCTGTCGCCGCCTCCCAGAAAATGGGGCGCGGTCGGAGCGACGCGATGGTATTTCGACTCTTTATTTGATTTTCGCGTTTTTTATTGGTGGTTACAACGTCCTTAGGTTGTTCGATAACCGGGCTAACCTAGAGACGAGGTTTTCAAAAGTATCCCTGAGTTGTCCGATAACCGGGCTAACCCAGGGATTTATTTAGTTTGGGTTCTATGGAGTCGCCACCGATATTTTTACCATAAACATCGGAAAAGGGGTTTAAAAAGGCGTTGGTTTTCGAAAACCAACTTGGTCATTAGAACCAGAGTTGGGTAAGGGAGTTAGTTACGTGTAAAGGAAGTATTAGTTCCTTTACGACGCCCCTTTCGGGTTCCCTATGATAGGCCTAGCTAATTTGAATAGATAATTAAACTGGAAAATAGCGCTTTTACCCTTTTATTATGCGGTATTTAAATTTATGACTACATGGCCCTAGCTTCTATTGCATAATTTAAATGAAAGCGGTAAAGTAAAGAAAGAGGTTTATGAACCTTCGAAGCAAGCTTTCTTATATTCTTTTAAAAAAAGGGTGCTTTGTGGCAGCCCTCTCACTCTACAACTCTCGAAACTCCGAAATGCCTCGGAGGGATTCTTAAGAAAATTTAGAACGCTCGATCTATGCCTAGAGACGCTCGTAAACTCCGAAATGCCTCGGAGGGATTCTTAGAGAGAGAAAATCTAGAGAGAAGGGAGAGCTACTCGTTTTTCCGTGTGGAAATGAGGGGGGAGAGCCCCTATTTATAGTTTTTCGCGTCTGTCGTGGTCCGGACCGTCGTTCTCGCTCGACGAGGTCGAGACCGCCGTCTCGTAATTCGAGACCGCCGTCTCGCTCATGTCACGGGGTCGAGACCGCCGTCCGGAAAATCCGGACCGCCGTCTCGACTTGGCGAGAATCGAGACCGCCGTCCGGAAAACCCGCACCGCCGTCTCGTTTTGCGAGTGTCGAGACCGCCGTCCGGAAAGTCGAGACGGCGGTCTCGTCCTCGGCACCGAAACGAGACGGCGGTCCGGTATTCCTGCACGGCGGTCTCGTCCCTTCAAGGCGAGAAACTTTATTTTGGGCCAAAAAACCTTCCTATCTTGGTACGGGAGCCTAATAGTCTCTCCTAGTGGCTTGTTAAGCTCCGACCGTCTTCAAATAGGAAGCTTTCTGACTTTATTTGGAGGTCGGGCAAGATTTGGGGTCTACAGCTGCCCCCCCTTTACCTGACTAGTCAACTGTTGGCCTGTTGTGCCAGACAGATTGACAGGAAGGTAAAGGAGTTGACCCTCTTGCCCGGCTACCCTTCGAACGTCCCGTCTGGGGAGATGTTGTGTTTGTGCGCCTCTAGGATACTACTCTTGACGTAGCCGATCCCTTTGGTTGACACGTGGTAGAACCTCCAGATACTACTCTGAACGTAGGCGATCCTTCAGTTGATGAGTGGTAGAACCTCCGAATACTACTCTGAACGTAGCCGATCCTTCGGTTGATGAGTGGTAGAACCTCCGGATACTACTCTGGACGTAGCCGATCCTTCGGTTGATGG